AGGGAAAGTAGGAAGGGTAGGGGAAAGGTAATAAGGGAAAAGAAAAAAAATATGAGAAAATGGAAATAAAGTGTTTGTAAATGGGGAGGGGAGGAGGGGGTGAAGGGAGGGCAGGGACAAGAGGAAAAAATGAGAACCAAGACCTGTCATGTAAAGGTACAAGATCCCAATAATGAATGCAACTGTACTATATACCTAAAATGTACCAATAAACTCAATTTAAAAAATAAAATTTAGCCTTATGACCTTGACTAGGCCATTAAATGTTCCGTGGAATAATTTTTTCCTTTATAACCTTCATAGATTTTGATGAAAATTGAATGAGGTAACCTATATAAAATGCTAGAGCAACTGAACAAGACTCGTCTAAAGTTCTACCTATTACAATTAATTGTTTTAAAGATTTAAGATGAGACTTAGTGCCTCAATCTTGAGCAAGCATATTTCTTTCCCTCTAGGACTATGACAAATAGTTTTCCTTCAAATTTCTGTAGAAAATGGAAGTCAAAATGCCTCACTTGTTACTGATAGTTGACTTGAATAAAAAAGTGGGGATTTCTTGATTAATTCAGACATGGAATTCTAGTCAGAGATATGACAACTGTGAAACCTAAGGCCTCTGCTATATTTGTACATGCTACATTGGTAAATATGCATGTTTATGAATATGCACGTAGGTGTATTTTATAATTTCAAATTGCATATATAGTATTTTATACATGCATAATATATAAAGTGTACATATATTTGTTTCATTTCCTGACATATTAAATTATCAGTTAAGTCTCTGAGCATGTGATTTGATGATGACATTTGATAAAAAGAGCTAGAAGGAAGTGATAGAGAACTTCTGTGCTCACAGTTGCTTTAGGTACTTATACATGCTAAACATATGCTTTTCAACTGAGTTACATCCCAAGCCAAGTAAAAAATGTACTTGCCTTTTTTTGTTGTTGGCAACTGCTACAGAGGGCAAGTCTAAAATTAAAAGTGATATAGGGCCAGGGATTTAGCTCAGTGGTTCCGCAGCCTACCTTGCAAGTGCAAGATCCAGAGTGATCCCTGGTTTAAAAAAAAAAAAAAAAAAAAAAAAAAAGTGGTATAAAAGAAAAGAGAAACAGCATAAATAAACCCAGAAGCTGAAGATTGATGATATTAAGTAAGTAAGCCTGTAAGAATTTTTGAAAAAACATAGTGGAAATTCAAACTATTATAGGATATAAAATTATATTATCCACTTAAAGTTATTGATTTCTATAATGAAAAGAGTTTCTGCTTCTGGTAATGGGTTAGTGATTCCTATTTCCTACACATAACATCATTAAACTCTAATAACAGCAGCATCTTAAATGAAGAACTATGTGAGGGGTTTAAAGAATAAACAAAAGAAAACAGATACAGGAAAAGGATAAATACTTAAAAGAAGTAAAACTCATTGGGTGATATTTCAATTTAATTTTTAAATAGGGTGCAGGTCCCTGTTGGACTCTGAAGAGTTGTTTAACCTTCAGTATATCTGTTGTGGCAAAACAAGGGATAAGTTATGTGTTCACTAAACCACAGAAAGTAAAGAGAGAACATCCTGGAAAACAGAGAGCCACAGAAAGGCGACCCCACATCTTGTACATGAACTCTGCTCAAATATTGAACTCTGAACTATGGATGTGTTGGACAGATTACAAGCTGTCTAGTTAAGATTTAAAAAAAAAAACTGAACTGGGATTTAAGAGTTTGGAGACTGAGTTTATTTGTGAAACAAAATATTGCTATTCCTTAGTGAGATATAAAAGGATCATACTCTTTACAGCATATTATTTATAGCCTAGAATAAAAGCCAAATTTGTATGGAAGAGCAGGACATTTTATTTGTAACAAAGAGAAAAAAGGCAATCAATGAAATCGAATCCCAAAATGATCCAGATTTGCAAACATGGTTTCTAAGCACACATTAAAGTCATTCTCAGAAACACACAAGGGACAGGCTAATGGCAGGTATACGTGTGTTTGTGTGCTACCCACTCAGTTCCTCACATAAAACACTGTTACTTATTTAGCAGTGGTAACAGAAAAACAGCTTGATTATACAAACCGAATGCAGCATTATATTCAATTTGTTTCACAAAGGATTCCTTCCTCATAAACAATAATTTTAAAAGTATTTATTTGGGTGCTATGAAGACAATGGGAAAAGCCAACTAGGTATAATTTTCAACTCTCAGACTCTGGACTTGGCTTAAATCTAAACAACTATAATACATTTCATAAAAATATTCCTTAAATTATAAACTGAAGCCTCAGTGGTAGAAAGTTTTACTTCCAGATTAGGGGAAAAGAAGATGTAATGAAAAGGGAAAGAGGATACGGGGCGGCTTAGATGATCTTAGGATAGTTCGATTTCTTTATATGCAGGCACGATGGGTCAAGGGGAGCTTCAAAGTGTACTTCATGAGGAAAATTCCGAATATAATGTAATAAAGTAGTGATCCCTATCTGTATGGACTGTGGTGACAGCGGTGGGAGATAACGTAAAAAGAGGAGGTCAGTTCAGGTTGCAGAATGCTGGCCCAAGTGTGTCACACATCATTCTGAAGACTTCAGGAAGTCAATTAAAACAAAATATTCAAAAGCCCAATGCGATTTCCTTTGGCAAACTACAGATCCAGAAAGGACTTCTCTATTCTTTAAAATTACTTCAATTTCCTAGTTAAAAAGCAAACAGAAAAGCTCTTACAATTTTAGTGCAAATTTAATCTGTCAAGAATCTGACCACATGATAAGTTTGAGTAGAGACTAGGAATTTAAAAATGTGTTACTCAGCTTCTCAACATTTTGATAACAAAGTGTATGTAAGAGCTTATGGTTTGAAAAATTATTTCAACGTGCTAATAGAAAACATTCACCCTGCCTTTGTAGTGGTTGTAGGGGAGTAAATTTAACTTTATCTTTACAAATTCAAACTCATAATATGCAAATTAAAGTTAAATTATGTTTCTATTTTTTCAAAAGTACAAGCTTCTTTCCTAAAGTTCTTTCTGTGGTCATTTTTATTGAGGAAATCAGGAGCTCTATTGTCAGTTTATTATTAGATAGCTATTAAATTACATTTAAAATTTAGAAATATCAATAATAAAGGCAAGCTATAATAAAAATATTACAAACCCTGGTGCTACATAAAAAAAATAATAAAGTCTTAGGGCCTTAGCATGTATTGCAGTGGTAGAGTGATTCACTAGCATTCACTCCTACTTTGATCTGGGAGATCAAAGACAAAGAAATTAAATTATTTGGGAGTAAAGTGTTTTCATCTTTCAATTGTTTTGAGTCTAGATGTGTCCCCTGGGAATATTCTGGGATGTGGTGATAATGGAATACGATACCATCAAAGTAAAACCATGAAGAACAATGGATTTTTATGTCTCTGTATTCATCATGCTTATTTTAGCTTTCCTGTTATTCCTTATAGCTAATGATATTAAGGATAGGAAGTTACACACGTAGCCACAGTCACATTATGTTGCATATCAGTGAGTTATAATGTTGACATAAAAAGGTTAATGGACCACATATCCCCCTCCAACCCTTTTGTGGCAAGGAGTCACGCCTAGCTCACCTAAGGTGATTTATATTAATACATATATATAAATATTCCTTATGTTATATCTTTTCTTAGAGAATATTATGCAATGTTCTGTGAAAAAGACTTCTCCAAAAGACTTCTTTGACATCAAGTCACCTTTGTATATTATCCTAGTACTGTTTCTTTTCCTCATTTAAAACAGAGGGGGAGAGAAAACCTGTAATTTTCCCTGTATACAGGGAAAACTAACCCAATAAATCTGATATTATCATTTCATTTCCTTTTATTTACTGGCTTTATGATGTAGATATATTTAAAGTTCAAGGGAGAAAGTTTAACAAATTGTAATACATTTGGATGTACCAGTGCTCAAGCTATTATAATAAAATTTTAGATAGAACAATCATCAATGCATTAGATTTATTTTTTGTTCAGACACAGATTTTGTTGTTGTTGCTGTTGCTGAGACATAGTACTTGATACCCAAACTTAGGAAAGCAAAGTTTAGTGTGCCTCATGATTTTAGTCTGTGGTCAGTTCATGGCAGGGCAGAAACATGGCAAATTAACATGGTGAGGCAAAACTGCTTAAATCATGGAGTTGGATTTGAAGCAGGAAAACAGAGGTACAGAGGACAGGATGAGAAATCAGATACAGTACCCAATATCGTGTCTTCTTGAGACATCCAGACACATCTACAACTGTGGTTTACTAGTTCCCCGGGCAGCTCCCAATCCAATTGAGTTGACAAGCTTAGCCATCACAATAGTCAAAACAACGTACTCTATTTCTGTTGTGTTTTATTTTGTTTTGGATTTCCAGGTTATTATTTTGTCTTCTGTAACATTGAAATTTTTGCAGCTATCTTTGCCATGCCTGTAAAATACTATAGAATTTTATGAAATTATTTAAAGAGTTAAGAAATTTAACAATTTTTCTTAAATTTCTTGTTTCCTACAGCTGAAATAGAAATGTGTCCTCTCCCTTTGTTGATACACCTCCTTGTGTTCTATTTACCTAAATTAAGATTCTTTCTAATAAACCATATACAACAAAAAAAGGACTGAATAATTGCTAGCCAATTTCAACTCATGATCAAAATAAATCTGTAGGTACCCTTGAACTCACTATATTGCTTTCTTACTCATAGTTATTTAAATTTTCTCAGATACACAATATCTGAAACAAAATTAAATAAAATATATCTAATTTTCTGCTATTCAGTTCTCATTTGAAGTTTTAGGGCTGAAGGAATAATATAGGGATGAGGGCAAAATATTTCTTCTATATGACCAAAGACAAAATGCACAGTTTGCTGTTTTATATTTTATTCTCTTGCACTGATTGAAAATGTCTTAATACAACTGAATTTTGACTTATTCACTCAAACATCAGATGGTGTTAGTTCAACTCCTTTTCATTCTTAGGTGGTCAAATCAATATATTCTTTTCCACACCTTGTGTGTAAGTTGTCAAACCAGAGTCATATCATATTTATGCTCCTCTCTGATTTATGTCTATGGGTTAAAACCAAGTCTGCCTGGCTTAATGCTGCATGCATAAAACAATCGGCTTCACAAACAGCTCACTTTTCACTAAAGGAAAGTATGAGTTCATAAAGCATGAGTTCATCTTCTGAAGATTGTGAGGGATTTAAAGTGTTGCCTCAGTTTACTCATCAGCATTTCCCTGAAGTGATCACCCATCAGGAAGTAGAAGACAGGGTTGACAGCACTGTTCAGAAAGGCCAATGGCCGAGTCACGATGTACAAGGACTTGATGATCTCTTGTGTGCATTGATTCTGCTTCCAGGTGTCCAGGCGCGTAGCAATCCTCACATTCCGCATGACGTGGTAGGGTGTAAAGAGCATGGAGAAGATCACCACTGCCATGATAACTAAGAGGAGAGGCTTTTCAAGGGGCAAGGTGGTAGTGAGCTGCCTGCTTCTCTGCTTTAGGAAGACAGCAATCTTGTAATAGAAGAAGCACATCACAGAAAGAGGAATAAGGAATCCCAACAAGGTTAGGCACATGCTATAAATGAGGTTGTATCGAGGGTCTCCAGAACTTGCATAATCAAGACAGTTGATGCCTTCTTCGGTTGTAGTGGGATTTATAAGAGGAAGTATAGGTAGTAGCTCTAAGGTTACTAAAACCCAAATAGCCAAAGAGATTAAAACAGCAAATTCTTTCTTTTGCAGAAGGTGTTCTCGGAAAGGATGCTTCATGAGCATGTATCGATCGATGCTGATAAAAGTGAGGAAAAGGATGCTGGTGTAGAGGTTGGCATGAAGAACGTACCGGTTGATGATGCAGAACACATCTCCATATAACCAGGTTTGGTTGGCATAGCTTCTTATCAGCATGGGAAGGGTGCACAAAAAAGCCAAGTCAGAGATGGAGAGGTTAAAGAGATAGATGTTACTGCTACTCCAGTTCTTCAGACAGAAGAGGTAGCCATAAACAACAGCAGTATTCCCAAGAATTCCTACACAGAACTCAATCCCATAGAAAATAGAAAGATAGTACTTTTGCAAAGCAACCTGTGCTGTTAGCCAGTTTCTACAAGTTGAATTCCATGCCTAAAAAAAGAAAAAGAAAAGAGAAAGATGAAACACTAAGATCTGATTAAGAACAAAACTGTGCAGAATATAATAACCTAAAAATAACATTGATAGCTGGACTATGGCGAGAGGAATGAACATACTTATAAACATATATACATACAGGTTAGCATACATATATGGTAATATAATATTTTCATAATCCTTTATTGAGTAGTTTGAACTAGGAACTAGGAATGAGGTACTGGGTTAGTATCAGTAGGACAAACAATGTTCCTAATCTGAGAAACGCACAGTGGTACCTTGGTTCACGAATTTAATTTGTTTCATGATTCCAGAAAAGATGGCCACATTCATGTTTTTGTGGAAAAGTTGGCCGCAGTCATGTTCATCACCTGATGAAGAGTTCGCCACAAAAATTATGACGAATGCTTTAGCTCGTGAATCAAATTATTCAAAAACCAAATTGTTCATGAACCAAGGTACCATTGGATACTGTTTTGGGAAGAATTAAAAAAAATAAATGATGCTGTGTAATGAAATATGCTATGGATGAAAGAAAAGTGTAAGGGTAAAAATGTTAAGAGAGTTCTAAGTAGAAGGAGGCAATGAGATAATTTTTATGTAGTGACCAGGTACATGCTTTTCTATGAGACGACATTTAAATGGAAACTTTAATGATGAGCTAGAAGGAGCCATATCTGTCCCTAGAGAGCATGTCCCACACAGAGAAAGAACTGTGCAAACCCCTCAGGTAAAAACACAAGCTGCTTGACAAATAGCAAAGAGGCCAAAGCAAGTGTGGAAAAGTAGAAGAGGAGGAGAGTCTAAGTCACTGTTGTGCTCCGTAACTTACCATAGTCCCCTGCACGTTATAGTCATTCAACAAATTCTGCTGAGTTGAACTGAACTGAACTATAACCTACAAGACAGAGATTGTTAGAATTCCAATATTGCTATTTTAGTAGCTTTTACTTGTTTCCATATTATAAAAAGTTTGCATTTTAAATTAAATTTATAAAATACAATTTGTCTTAAAATATAATATTTTAAAATATGAATTATGAAACTGAAAATCTTCAATGTTCACTACTTGTTGAAAGTTGGCAGCGTATGAGTTCTGTGCTCACCATTTTTCAGGGACTATTCATTTAATATATATGTGGCATAATGAAGCGAGAGCTGTTGTTATTTTTATTTGACATGTGATTTTCCTAAAGCTTGGAAAATTAAATAGCTTGTTTAGTGTGTTCCTGTTCTAAAGTGATATAGCTTACACTGGCTAATTTATACACAATAGAAATGTTTTTCTCATGATTCTTTAGGCTGGGAAGTCCAGGATCATGGTGCCAGCATATTCAGTTTCTGGTAAAGGGTCACTCTTTGTTCCAGAATGGTCCCTGTTGCTTTTTTCTTGCAACAATGATTGCAAGGGGCAAAGCAGCTCCCTTCAATCTATTTTCTACGAGTACTAATCCCAGTCAAAAGGCAGAACCCTTATGAATTAATCCCTTCCCCAAAGTCTTTACCATTGAATCCTATTAGGTTCCAGCATTCAAGTCTTTTGGGGGAGTGACACTCATATTTATTTAGATTATAGTATTTTTGAAATCACATACCTAGGAAAAGACTTTAGTAGTAATACTTTGTGAATATGGACCGTGAAACTGGGCAGTGTGATTCATCCTGATGTCAAATATCTGGTTATGTTTTCTCTGTGGTCAAGACGCCATATTATAGTTTGGATAGGGTCTTTTAAGAACTTGACTTACCTAAAAAATGTGCTGGATCACCTTTTTCTTTTTTGGGGGGGCGGGTACTGGGGATTGAACTCGGGCCCTTATGCTTATGAGGGAGGCAGCAAAACCACTGAGTCAAATCCCGAGCCCTGGATCACCATTTTTAAAAATTAAATCCTATTTATTTCTTTTTTTCAATTAAGTTTATTTTTACATTTTAGGTATGCAATACCGTTTTATTCATCATTGGGATATTGCACCTTTACATGATGCATCTTGGTTCTTATTTTTTCCCCATTCCTCTGCCCTCCCTTCACCCCCTCCACCCTTCCTTATTTACAAAGATTTTGTTTCTATTTTTTCCTTTTCTCATGCTTTTTCTTTTCCCTTCTTTCCTTTCCCCTATCCCTCCTACTTAGCCTTCTCCTTTAGACCTTTTCTTCACACTATTAATTATACAACTTTATCTCTATTTACACTTTAAGTTTTTCACACTAGAGATGCTATTCAGAATTTATACACACGTGTCTTACGTATTTTACTTAAGAGTATGGCCTCAATATGCATCCATTTAGCTATAAGTGTCTCTAGTTTCTCATTCTTTATGGCTGAATAGTACTCCATTCTATTAAAAAAATCTTCTTTTATCCAGTTTCCAGTTGATGGGCTGTTGGCTGTTTCCAAGTTTTAGCTATTACAAACTGTGCTGCTATAAACATAGGTGTGCATGTATCACTGTGGTATGATTCTTTTAATTCTTTTGGAAGATACCCAGCAGAGGGATGGCTGGGTCAAATAGAACCACTATACCTAGTTTTTGAGGTATCTTCATATTGATTCACACAGTGGTTGCACCAGTATACACCCCCACCAACAATGAAGAAGTGTTCTTTTCTCCCCTCAACCCTGCCAGCATTTGATATTGGTTGATTTTCTCATAGCAGACATTCTTTCTGGGATGAGGTGGAATCTCAGTGTTGTTTTCGTCTGCATCTATCTACTGACCAGTGATGTTGAATATTTTTCATGTTTACTTGCTGCTTTTATTTGTTTTTGAGAAATATCTGTTTATTTTAGATGCCCATTTTTGAACTTGGTCTTTATATTTGTGGGGTCTGTAAATCCTACTTATTTCTAATGAAGAAACCAGGATTACAACTAAAATTTACTAAAAATAATCTTATCAAATAGACTTCTGTTCATTAGTTGCAATCAGTGATTCGTTCTATATAGTATTTTGGTAAGTAGAACAAAATCAGAACAATGGCATTGAACTTCTTTTACTAAGAGGCACGCAAACACTCAGTAAAGTTTTTTATGATAAAGGAATCTTAAAACTCACACCTGGTTTTGTGAAGTTCCAATGACTTTCTTAAGTAAACGATTACTGGTATTTTAAAAGTGTTTTATTCATGCAAATATGTCGTAGGACTAGAAAAGTTGAATGTTTTGTTATTTTTAATTACTGGAAAACATTCCAAATTCCTCTGAGCCTCTTAAGTCTTTGCCCATCACTAAGTCCAATACTAAATGAAACTCGGTGAGGTGTTCCTCAGCGAGAGGGTACGTGACTGCTACTGACGAACTGAGTTTGGCTTCACTGAGTTTGGCTTCAAGCTCCATATGAGGTTACCAGACTCAACTGCCCTCTCACATTTCCAGAAATTTATTATATTTTTCAATTTTACATTTTTTCCCAGGTACTGTCAAACTTCTTCCACTTATTTTGCCCTACTCATCATCACAAATCACTAGGAAAAGATTTGCCTTCTGGCCTACTGAGTCAGAGACCAATCCTTGGGATTACTATTCATTCTCAAGTTCTTATGGTTGCTAGGTTGTTGATATTGTCTGTTTCTTCTGTCTTTTCAGTTGGCATCTACATCTCAGCTGCATCTTTTCCATCAGGGTTTAAGAAATGTTGACTTATCAGTCTTAAAAACAAGGAGCACTTTCAGACAACTCTTCCTTGCCTCACATGTTTCCTTTTCATAGCTTGAATTCTGAAAAGAGGCATCTCACTAAGTGTTTTGACATCCTGACACCACATGTTTTGCCAACCAGTTGGCATCTGGCTTCTGACCTACTGTTCCACAAAAATAGTCTCCGTGTTGCTTAACTCAATGGTCACTTTTCACATGTCTTGAATTCTTAACTACTCTTAATACCACGACACTCTTTTGTCTTCTGTGCCATGTCTTTATGTTAGTTTTCCTTCTTTCTCTTTGGCTCTGCTTTGTAGGTTCTCAAGTGCTAAATGTAGAGGTTCTCAAAACGTGGTCCTGGGCTCCTTTCTTTATATTCTGATCAGATGATCTCATTCACTTTTGAGCCTGAATGACCATCTATATACCAATAATTCCCAGATTTCAAACCCAGCTCAGAACTATCCTAACAGCTCCAATTGTTTATTGTTGCTATTGATTAGTTTCTTACAGGCATAAACTCTCCAACTTCTTGACCAATCATACAGCATAGCAACCTATCTCAGTAAAATGGGTGGTTTCATGTCTATCCAGGTGCTCACCACATAAATCTAAGCAAAACCTCTTTCTAATTCAGTAATGAACAAATTGCCAAGATTTTGTGACTTTAATTTATGGATGTTTCTCAAATCTATTACTGTTGCCTCAAATCTTTCATCTAGGCCAAGCCATCAGCATCTTCATATTGGACTACATTGTATTTTCCTATTATCTCCCTAAAAGACTTTTAAATGACTTTCCACAGTCCAAATCCAATGTGGGAACATAATTTTATTATCTGACCTTTGTACTTCATTTCAGCCTCACTTAAGGTAATACTTTTCCTTGCTCATCTTCTTTTTCTTCCTGTTCTGTGAATGTACAGAAAGCCATCCCAAAGTACAGTCCCCTCTGAATCTGTTTGTTTCTCTTGTGACTTTTGACCCATCACATACTATGCCTAGTACCTATATGTTTTTCACATTTCAGTTCAAGTGCGGATTTCCCAAAATGTGTTCTCTGAACCACCTGTTTATTCTGGGCCCTCCCATTTCGTGCTTTCATCGTATACTGATCTTGTTAGCATTTTTCAAAATTTTGTTTGACTCATTGTTTACCTTTCATATCTAGCACAGTGGCTACAGGATAGTAGCTGGTTTGAAAATGAGTGTAAAAGAGATGGCTACTGACATATAACCATTTACAAAGCAATTTTAAAGATATTTTCTCCAAGTTCAGGTAAATAGCACATATACCAAGGTGAACCTGCTGCTCTATTTTGCTATAAACCTGACACTATGACAGACAATCAAAACTGGCAACGTTTTAGTGATATCTGTGATGTAAAATATATTTATACAGAGTAAAATTTAATATTATAGATAGCTGAGGATCAAATTGAGAAATTGAAGCACTTAATTAATAATCTATTCATGAAATTAACAAAAATATAAAAGGCTAAAAAGATATGCACCTAAGTGTTAATAGTTTTATCCCTGACAATCAGATTCTAAATAGTTTTCATTCTGCTTTTTTAATTTTGTGTTAGGGGGACTTTCTGCCTTTTTTTTTAAGCAAAAAGCAGTATAAACATGATAATACTGTTTTAATTTTGTAGAAATGTCTGAAAGGGTAGATGGATTTTTAAAAAGTTAATATACTTTATTTTTTTTTTTTTTTTTTTTTTACTGTTATTGTCAACTCTTTTTCCTGCAGTATTCAGTTCCAGGCCTTCTGGAAGACCTCTCTTTCTTGTCTTCTATGATGTGCCAATCTCCTTATCTCTGTCCTTTCTCTGTTTGCAGACTCTTTGGTGGCTGAACCTTTGCTCAAGTTTTTAAGTTCCTCAAAAATCATTTTTGGATACTTTTGTCATTTTGTGAGTATTCACAAAGCTGGTGTATACACTCGACTTAAAATTAAGATGAGAAATTCATTTATTTAAGTTTTTTAAATTCTCTTTTTTTCCTGTCATAACCAAGTCATATTTCTGCCACTAAAGACTGAATTCTGTGAGTAGTTTATGCAATTTAGGTGCAGCAGAAAGATTTGGTTGCCATGAATGAAAAATGCATGAAGACTTATTCAACCTGAAACCAGATTACCAAGGACTGCTTGATACTCTGGCAAGTTAGGGACCAGATGGGAGGGATGGAGAAGCTACTTTCTGGTAATCTAAGGAGGAAATAAGGATATAGAATATCAGTGCTGAAATAGGGAAAATGAATAACTGATTTTATTCATTACTTTCATTCATTCATACCCTTGTATTGCTTCTCATAACTTGGTTGCTTTGTTCTTTTTAAAAATAACTTCTCAACCTTTATGTACAAAATACATATTAATTGAATAACACTCACATGATGCAAACAGGCAAAAATAAAGAAAAAATAGTCTAAACCAACCATTCTTAGTATCTAAATACCTTTCTAAACTTTACTATTTATGTGAATTTATATTTATAAATATGAAATTAAACTTTTCACTGTTTTATAATCCACTTCTTTGATACATTTATTTCATGCTTAAAATTTTTTTCTAAGTCTTTGATATTTATAAATTATGATTTTATAAAGGATTTGAGGTATTTTAGTGTGGCCATAACAGTTTTACAAATTGGAAAAGTAAGTTGTTTCGTCCCTGATTAAAGGAAAAAAAATTTTCAGAAAAATTAACAGCTTCTATTGCACTTTCCAGTAGCTGTTAGTTATAAGAAATGAAAGTAGGAAAAAAATAGATTAATACTGATTTAGATAAATTATTTGTAACAGTTTTTGTTAAAAAAATATTGGTGACTGAAGTGAAATTATTAGTTCCCCATCCAAAACTATATCTAATCCTTTTAGAATTAATAAGCTAGAAGCAATATCTAAATTATTCATGTAAACAGATCAGCAGTACTCATTTTAATTTGAGAATTTTTCATTTTAAATCTATTCATCTAAAAATGTACATCTTTTGAATTGTGAAAATAATAAATTTGATCTTTTTCAGAATTTAATTTTTTACAACTGTCAAATATTGTGGAATTTTAATTTTTAACTTCTACTATAATGCAGACTTACAAATTATCTTTCTTATTACTAAAAAATGTAAATGAAAAATATATTCATACTAAAAAGATCCACTAATTTGATATTGATTTCTTAATTTTATATACTCCATAAAACACTTCAAAAAATAAGTTAACAAAAAGTTATTACATGACATCAAATTTTATATTTAGTATTTTTCCTTTAAGAATACTTTACAAATTTTGGGACACTCCAGAAGATAGACTAACAGTTTCTGTAATTTTATACTCTTTAGTAAGCTATATTCTTGAATCATCTCGTTTTATGACATATAAATACCAAACTTAATATTTAGGACAATTCTAAATACCTTCTAACACATTATGCTCTGCACTTAAAATATACATGACAGCTTGTTTCATATAGTTTTGTATCTTTTTCTGTATATAGTTATGTTTATTCAAGTGAAACAAATTACTAGTTTTGGTGAAAGCTGTATTACTGAGACACTAGCACATGTGCTACATGGGTTTAAATAAAATACATTTGGCAATGACACTTAAAACACTTAATTTTGAAAAAAGTAAGTGTAAAATTAAAATTTATGACTTCCTTTTATTTTCTTTTGCTGCTTCTCATGTACTTAAGAATAGTTCACTGACAAAAAAAGAAAAAAAAAGAATAGTTCACTGACACAAACACATGCACTGCTCACAGAACACTTTTTAAAAATCCCCCAGCCCCAGAAGGCAGCCTGGCAGTACTTTACTTGACGGAGAGACAGGAGTTGCAGCCCAGCCTTACCATTATGTTCGAATTCCTCTCCCTTTACAGAACCTCTGCTAGCAACTGGAAACAGCTTCTGCCCCAGTGCTGTGCTGCTGGAGATGGTTAAGGCAGGTCTGATTTGCATATCATGCAGCCAAGATTAATAATTCAGAAGACCAGGGATAATTTATTCAGTTAAATTTCCAACTCTGAGACATTCACGTAGGAGAACTTCTGTGCAATGGAGACATAAAACAAATGACTCATTTTGCAGAGAACACATTTAACAGAGTTTGAGAACACTCCATTTAAAATAATTTTATCCACTACCAAAATAATAGAGAAGCATTTCTTATTTGCACATTTAAAAAATAAGGAGTAGTAAACAGTTTATGTTGAGTGTACTGTTGCATGTGCTTTTTCTTTATTTTCCAAAATTTTGGCAAATCTATAATGAGCATACAGTAACTAAACTGTTAACAGAAAAAATTGAGGGAATTATAAAACTGAACATCTGGGGAGATAACTGAATTGAAACCCTGTAACTGTACTAGGGAAGGGATACTAAAGCTTTAGTTTTTTCCATTTTATTTTCTGTGATTAAATTCAAGAGACACATAAAAAATACATCAGGTAGCTATGGATTAGGGAGAAAGGTGTTGTCTAAGTAAGATAACCTTGGGAGATGGCAATTTATGCATCCCGAATGACGCTCTGAGTAGTGCCTGCAAGCACATTTCCTCCATTTCACACAGGAAACACATCTGGCTTTTTCTGAGCATGGTATTATTTTCATATTCAAGTAAACACTCTGTCTGCTTGATTTGAAGGATGGGGATTGTAGAGAGGAAATCTCTAACTGTCCCGGCAATTCCAATTCAATTCAAATGCCATTTAAATAGAATGCAAAGTTAGCAATCATAAACAGAAGTACAAAAAAGAAAATTTGTTACAGCAATGTGCCTAGCCGAACATTTAATCCCACCATTAATGTCTCAGAGCCTAACACTCAGAAACTTCAAAATTATGTAAATATATATGATATTTTAAATTATATATAAAAGATAAATGTATATGTTTAAGCATCTATGTAAAGACATCTATTTGTATAAAATACTGTCTTTTTAATTTTTTTTGGTGCTGCACTAAAAACCTTTATCCATTTAACGCTTACAGTATTTGTTTTTCTTAGTTTTTTTAAATTTTACAGATTAAAAACCAGAGTGTCAGAGAGATTAACTTTCCTACTCACAGAATCAGCAAGCAGAGAGACCAGAGTTTAATCCTATATACTTGAATTTGAAAAGTACTTGCTTTGATTCTTGTCCACATAAAAGACTGATAGTCCTGACATACACAGATTTTAAAATCTGAAAATTAATGACGTATTTTCCAATTTTAAAGGAAGAGAAGTTCAAATATCATTTTGGTCTGTAATTTTAAAAGGGCAAACAACATTTGAATAACAACTTTAAGTCTTGTTGATTTTGGACATAAATTAACACAGACATCTCCAAGCAACAAAGGCACCTTTTCTGCCACCATTCTCTTGGGGGGTGCAGGTGAGTCTCCCTTTGGGAGATGTGGGAGTTCCCCAAAGCTTCCTCTTTCTTCTCCCCGCTTCCTGACTCTCTGAAAAGTGGTCTATACTTCTCCTTTCTCACTGGGCCGATGATCAGGTCAACAATTCCACAGCCTTGCTTTCCTGGGGAATTTCACTTTGCCAAAGTTCCCGCTGCCTTGGGGTGCTTACCATTGACAACTAGCATGATTCTGGAAGCAGATGTAAGGATCTCTTTTCTCCACTTCTGTACATACCATGAAGCTGTGAGCAGGCCCACAGAAAAACAGCTACACTGAGCAAGGCCAGATTCAGAGCAGGGGGCCCCATGAACAGGTTGGGGTTCTGGTGGCGCAGTCTCAAGGCTTTCACACTCAATGGCCACACACCTGACTTGACGCTTCACCATCTCTTTCTTATTTGAAATTCTTACTAGTTAACAAGAGACTTCTTGTATTCCTCTTACTTTGGGCTCTGCAAAGTATGATGCCAATTCTGCCTGTGAAAGTACAAACCTTCTAGGCTATGATTTCTATTCAGTGTATGAAATTTCTGTGGGGCAGAGTTTTCTTCTAGAAAAAAAATGTTATGTTGAAGCTCGCTACTTGAAGAGCAATGGAAGTTTGAAAAGCAGTAAAATTTGAAGTCAAATTTGCTAACAGGAGCTACCGTACAGTGGTACCAGAGCACAGTCTCGAAGGCAAACCTCCTTTCAAATCTTGACTTCACTATTTACTAGTTGGCAGATTTCTTATTATTTGTAAATAACGGATATGATGGACAATCTCAGGGAGCCGTTCTGTATGTTGTAGAAATACACAGTATGTACTGGGCTACATAGTGTGAAATACATCTTAATTGCTAAACAAATGTTGACCGTTTGGGAAATTTTATAACAAATGAGTATGCTTTCTTCTGAGTGACAATTTTTATTCAAAATCATCAATGTTAGAATATTTTCTAGAACTTTCATTTCAGTGACCTTATAAAAGCCAGCATGGTGAAGACTAATGAGTCCTTTTCCTGGCTTTGCCTTTAGGTAGCCAAGTAGTTTTAGGAAAGAAAAAAAATCATATAAACTTTTTTTCTTTCTGGAAGAAGGGCATAATGGTTCCCATTCCATAAAATTTGTATTATCTGTGAAATAATATTTGAATGTGCAGTGGATTGGGAATGCAAGAGCAGCTCATGGACAACAACAATACTAACCAGGAAATGCAAGGAAGATATGGGAAAAAAATCAAAATGTCAGTGAAATATAACACTAATAATAATTTCCACTAACATCTATTGAGCATTTACAATAAGCATTAATCATTTTAATAGTCACAATAATTTAATGAAGTATATAATAGTAATATCTTAATTTTTGATGAAGAAATTGAAGCCTGACAAAGAATAAATAAATTAGCCATAATTACACAGCTAATAAACAACTAAGGAATAATTTGAGGCCTGTCTTTTTGGTTTCTTGACCTAAGCTTTTGACTCTTACTCTGCTTCCCTAGCGATAAAGAAGAAAATCACTGATACTGAAAAATTTTACTGTAAATATGGCAACTTATGTGATTTAATTCAATAAATAAAAGTTTAAAATTAATGCTAAATTTAATCATTGTTGACAAGATTTGTTGACTATTGAATTTAATTATTTAAATCTTTTGTCCCAAAGGAACAGAACATTTTAGATAGGAAGCCAGGTTTGAAAATAAATCATAAAAGTGTTTATGAGAAAATTCTGCTAGCAACATCTCTGGGAATGTTTGTAAGACATATTTCTACAGTACAAGTAGTCTGTGTGGAAAACAAACTGGTCTAAGGGTCACACTAATCTTTAAGGAATCACAAGAAGGGAAAGAGGAGGACAATTAATTAATTCAAGGAATTTCCTCTACGCTCTTAAAGGAATATGTATTAACAACCCCAAGGAGTTCAATCAAACCAACATTGTTGAGGAGGATATTTCTGTATTAGGCTAGTTGGATATAAGCAACACTACATGATCATTTCTCTACTCAAAGAATGGTTTGTGTGTGTGAGAGAGAGAGAGAGGGAGAGAGAGAGAGAGAGAGAGAGAGGCAAAGACACACTAGTCAGTGTGTGTGTGTGTAAGCTTTCCAGATTCTAGAAATCAACCAAACAGTATTAACAAAATTTACTTTACCATAGAATAATAACCTGTTCAAGGTGAGTGTTCAAGCTGAGGCAAAATAATCTGTCTTCTCTATATATGAAATCACTGTCATATCAGAGTTCCATGTGTTGTGCAAAATTCTATATTAGCGCTTTTTATATTATCCCACTATTGAGAAAAATGTACCATACCTATTAATCCTTGGCATGACTAAAAAAACTCTGCTGAATTAAAACATGCCCATATTTATTTCACTTAAGTGTATGGACACACATTTATATACCGAATAGTTTCTCTGGTGTGAAAAACTAAAAGTGTAGATAAGGTTCAAATTGTATAATTGATAATGTAAAATAGGAAGAAAAGGGCCAAAGGAGTAGGGAAAGTGGGAAGGGGAGGGGAGGAAAGGAAAGAAGCGGAAAGAAGAAAATATGAGAAAAGGAAAACATGGAAACGAAGTCCTTGTAAACAGGAAAGGGTGGAGGGGGTGAAGGGAGGGCAGGGGTATGGGGAAAAAATGAGAACCAAGACCTGTCATGTAAAGGTACAAGATCCCAGTGATGAATGTAACTGTACTGTATACCTAAAAAGCACCAATAAACTTAATGGAAAAAAATAAAATACATCCATATAATCTCGGCTACTTGAAAGCCTGATGGAGTAATACAGCAAGTTGGAGGACAGCCTGAGCAACTTAGTGAGGTCCTATCTCAAAATTAAAAAGTGCTGCAGATGTATCTCAGGGGTAAGAACACCTCTGAGTTCATTCTTTTGTGCCTCAAAGCAACAGCAACAATAACAAAACAAAACAAAAAAAAGTATATTATTCGCAAAGAAATATCCAGCTACATCTGCAAGATTCTAAATTCCTTGAAATATTAATCAGTAACCTATAAACATAGCAAATGTACCCTTTGCTTTTCAGTTCGTATTCAACTTCCAACAGCTAAATTATTTTTCTCAGAAATAACTTAAATATGTATTATTTTGTATTTATATAGCACCTTCATCAAGAACCTCCAATATTTTATAGACATTATTTCTCATTAATCCTTACAACAATCCTGTGAGATAGGTATTACTTCCAATTATTTTAATGACATACACATTAATCACAAAGGTTTCTCTGCAAAAATAATGTTGTTAGGCCAGAGATTTACCTCAGTGGTGCTGCTATCTGCTTCACAAGTACAACGTCCAGAGTTCAATACCTGATACCCCCTCAAAAAAAAAAAAAGAAAGAAAGGAAAAGTTGCCTTTCTTCCATGATAGATATAAACATATATTAAACTCATGCATTTGTGTGGAATACAAAGTCGTCAAATTTCATTTTTATCCAGAGTCCAGGGTATAAGATAGAGAATCTGTCTGAACTGTTGAAATGGCTTATTTGCTAACTATGAAATCTTTTCCAGTTCAAATTTACTGTATGTTGCATGAATTTGTTTCATTCTTATGAAGTTTTGTATTATGTATTACATTTTTGTATTATGTACTAAGCAAAAGCAGCTAGTCTGCTCT